CAGTGGCGGCCTTAGGGGGTGGCGAGCAGGGCAATCGCCCGGGGCCTCGCTCTTGGAGGGGCCTCGCGCAACAACCAAGTAGAAAAAAGTTGATATTTAAAACTTTTTATTTTATCCTTGGCTATTAGTTATAACAATAAAATAAATTTAATTTATAGTACAGTATATATTAATATTAATAAGTGCCTACTATTTCAATTTATATACTTGGCACAAAGGACAAGGGCCTCGCAAAGATCTGCCGCCCAGAGTCTTGCAATGGATAAGGCCGCCGCTGAGCTGTATATAATTATATATATTAAAATCTATTAATTAAAAAACTATTGGAGGTCGTTTTTGACATCAGAAAGTAGCTTTAAATAATGTTATTGTTAATTGTCTACTTGGACTTTACTTATTAATAGGACTTAATACTGGTGTTTAAAGATTGGCACAGCAATGAGAGTTAGTTCAGGAAAGAACAAAATTTCTTTATTATATCACCTGTAGTAATAATTTCTGTTTAGAAATTATTCAGAATGTAGTAATAATTTCTAAACAGAAATTATTACTACATTCTGAATTTAATTAACGTTCCGACAGACGGATACAAAGAAAAATCCTGTAGAACTCCTCGTTGCGGATCACTGGACTGCGATGCCTGCTTCAAGAAAGGTACTGTACTTTTAGCACGTTCTTCGAAGTTTTGACGATGCGTGGTGGTCAAACACAAGCTTACCGATTTTAAATCCTTAGTTTGGTGGCAAATTAAAGAATTATCTATAACAACTTGGCAAAATTGCCAAGTAATGTCGACATGCGTACAGTCGTACGTCCAACAGCAAATGGAATGGATATGTCCTCTCGTAAAGGTTTACGCTCAGAAATCTTGGTACGTCTTGCGAGTGTGCCTTTACAGATTTCTGTGTTACTTGGAAAAGTTGATATCGGAATGGATACGTTATTTAGAAAATGATCTCGACTGCGAAACTCGCAGAACGGAGAGGAGCCATTTTAACATCGAAAGAATCAAACCTTTTTTAATTTATTTATTATTACTGCTGCCGTTAATTTTATTTTATTTCATTAAACTCGTAAGGTTATTTAAATTATTGTCATTGATCATTGACATCTACGATCTTACCATTAATTATTATTAATCCTATGCATTTTAAATTATGACTTTTCTGTAGACAATTTATAACGTGATCGATAATTACGCAACATTTTACATCCCAAGAAATCTAGGTAATGTATTATAAATTTCAATTTTTCTTATTGGGTTACAATTTTCAAACTGCCTTCCGATCTGTATGGAAGTTTCGCGATTTTTTTTTTAAATTAAAAGATGATTAAAAATTGCAGCCCGGAATTGTGATGATGTCACAATTGTTAATTGTTCATTTTAAACAGTTTCTCCTCCAGTTTCGGCTCCGGAAATTCAATTGTCCGATGAGGAAGAGGATGACAATGATCAAGATGAGCAGGAGTTCAATGAAGAAAATTGAAACGATTGAATTCTAATCAAGAAAAATTAATTTTTGATGATGATAAATTTTAAAAAAATAACAAATTTTATTATTGTTTAACACAAAATTAATATATAATTTCAACTTATGAAAATTCTTTTAATGAACAATTAAATTTGCTTTTAAAATTACATTTTAATTGAGTTTATTACACCATATCCAGAACTAATTAAAGAATTATATTAATACACATTTTTTCTACATATAAATTAGCAGGGAAGAAAAGTTAATAGTGAACATTTTTACAGCTTTATACATTTACATTTTCACATTATAAATTTTTTTAATGAACAAATCATTATATACAAATTGCCAATCTCCAGTTTGTGCAGTTAATATTTCGTCGATAATTTGAATAAAGGAATGTAAATTATCACAATGAAAAATAGAAATTCCGTTCAAACTCCTCGATGAAATTTCACCTTTTAATTAAATTTCAATTTATTGAAATGCCAATCCGACCTGCTGAGATCCCAGTTCCAGGAGAGCTTTGCAGCGAGTCGCTTCTCTGGATACATTCTGATGATCGTTCGTTTAAAACGGTGTTCAACCGAAATTGTTTACTGGGCCTAAACCAAAAATAAAAATACACTGTGGGCCGCACATATTTATTTACAACGAAAAATTGAAATATATACAGTATTTTGTGTGTATTTTAATGTGCAACTTGCTTTTCACGTTTTTCACTTAATTTTTTAATATTAAGGGGTATTTTCGACGTTGTACAATGTAGTTGTTTTTTTAAATTTTCATCGGTCAATCTATTACGACATTTAACAATCTTCAATTTTGAGAAAGATTCACAAAGATAGATGGTTACACTGCTATCTTATACTGTACTAACATTAACTAATAATTATCATAGTTTTTTAATTAAATTAAATTTTATTTTATTTTTGAAACGTTTAACTTTAAATGTTTTGAAAGCTTTTGAAATCTCTTGTGCTGTGTTAATAATAATAAAATGTTTACTTTTATCAATAGGTATATAAAATTGTAATTAAATTTTATTTTATTTTTATTTTTTTGTTTTAGATATCAAATGGAGTGCCAAAAGCACTTATTAATCTCTGCATTATTAATCGTTCTCTCCAAGTTTCTTTGCTGAGAACTACTACAGAAGATCATATTCAGGAGAATTTGGAAAATGATATCAATGAAGCTCACAAAGTTACATATTACTTAAATGACACTGATAAAAAGAATGTTATGGAGTCACTTAATCGATTAATTTTACGATGCCCATTGAGTGAATGTTCTTCATATTCTTATGATAGCTTTAATCTGCCAGTTAAAGTCTACAATCATTGGATGGATGATTTATGTATCAAAAATGAAGATAGTACTGATTTAAATTCTAAAATCACTCAGAATTTTCCAGTGACTGTATTTTCTGGTTATCTAGATTCATCTTATTATCAGATGTATTGTGTTGGTATGGAAAAAGAAAACTCTTTATTAATGCTATCTGATTTTGAAGAACATTTTGTGAGAAATGCACACTCAATGAGCTCAAATAAAGTTCCAGAACCAACAGGTCGTCCTTCAGAAGAACAATTAAAAAAGGTTTATCTTTCACTATCTAATTCTGTAAGTTATTTTTATTACAATTTTATTTTATAATAAAATATGAATTTATAAATCTATAATAATTTATTATTCACTCCTTCATAAAAAATTTCAAAAGAGAAAAATACAGTCGACCCCCCTATAACGCGGGTTTATATAATGCGGATTCGTAAATTGCGGCAAAAAAATTGCGACCGCATTTGTATAAAGATGCTAAAAGAGACTCGTAAAATGTGGTAAAACGTTATCGCCATCTCGTGTCGCGACAGGATTGGTCGAATCTGGACCAATAGTGGATGAGCAGCTGAACTACTTACTCGCTACAGAGAGTTTAGGCGGTTAAGTTGAGTTTACTATCGTCTGTACAGTATATAAATTAAGTACTGTAAGTCTAATACAGTACTGTAATTTTATACATTTCTTGTGAAAAAAAAAATTTCTTATTCAACAGCCATAAAAATTATTTCTATTAATGATGTCTCCAAATCAACAAATTTTTCACAGAAAAATAACTTATCAGAAAACATGCCCACCGTTTGGTGTGCTGCTCTGCGACGAAAACAAGCTTAAGCAATGGTGTCGTTGAATGGTGCACAGGTAAGTAATCCTACAATTTTTTGTTTATAGCATAGTTTATGTGGATTATTCTCAAAAAATTATATGTATTTTGGAAATGTTGAGTCAAATTAGTCTAGAATCGATTAATTTTATGGAAGAAAACCTTTCAGACAGCCATAGTCCGTAAACTGNAGAATGGAAAGACAAAATAAAAAAGTCGACCATAAAAGAAACTAATAAAATGTATACGATTATATAAAAAAATTTAAATTAAATGAAATGTAAAATTATTTAAAATCTAAAGCTAATTTTTAATACCTATTTATATAATTTTGATTGTTTTTTTAATAAATAATTTTACTTAGAGGGCGTCGTAATCTTTTAAAATGTCGGTCCTTCGGGAGGAAAACGTGTGAAGCAGATAAGTTCGAAAATCAACGCAAAGATGGCAACTGGTTTAAGACATTTAAAATTGCCTCTTAACCGCAAAATAACTAACTTAAAATCTAATTATTTTAAAATATCTAATAGAAATAAAGATTCCAATAATAAAACTTCTAAAAGATCAAGCTGGTCTCGCCACTCTCTTTATTCGGAGAATTTACACGAGGTTAGTGATTTTTTTTTTTTTTAATTATTGACATGTTCACAATGGGAAAAAGTCCGGTGATTGCTGTTTTAAATAATTGTTTGACTCTCATTCAAAATAGTCTTATCGCTCGGTTTTATCAGCATTATCGTTACGCAAGTTGTACAGTATCAATACTTTCATTCTTAATATTTTATCACTCGCTTTAGGAATTCTGTTACTAATTTTTCTGCATTCTTAACATTTAATGAAATACTAAATTCTCAAATAATTTTTATAACGAGTAAAGGTGATTATGCTTGACCTTGTAAAGATCTCTGCTGTATAAATAAGCAAACGCATAATGAATACACTTGATAAATTACATAACACTGCCGAATTTAGATTAATGAAATGCCTGTTAAGCGAAAAAAATTAGATAGGTTTCAAGATATTGACTATAATGAAAATGATCATTAGTATTGTACTACCATTGGTATTGTGATTTGTCATAATTGTCGTTCTGACGAACTGTTTGTATGAATTTTTATTAATTATTAGCTAATTCTTACATTCTATAAGAATACCCAGTGGCACATTATTGCTTTGTGGGGCCCAGGAAATTTGAATTAGGGGACCCTATGTATGGTGTCGACTTGGACAGTTTTCTTCGGGAAAAATACTTTCTTTAAAAAGAAATAAGCTTGGGAGCCCAGGGCAATATACCCTTTTTGCCTGTAGACTTGCCACTGAGAATATCTTGTTTGTTTAGAGTTCTTTTGAAATTAATCAAAATTGTTAATTATAATTTAAAGGAGTTAGATATTTAATGATTACGTATTTTTGGTGTAAATTTCTTCAGGGGTTCTTCGTCTTTTTGAATACATTAATGTATTTGAGAAGTAAAAAATAGAATCTGAATGTGGTTGAACTTGAATCAAAAGTACTTGATCAAAAATTCTTGCTGGTAATAAGGTGTTTGGTACTTATATAGTATTGAAACCAATAGATTAATTACGTAGAAATTCTTTCATTTTTTAAAATTAGAATATTCTTATGAAGAACAATTATTTATTAGAATAAAACAGATTTCTTTCTGAAGAGGAGCAATTTTATAAAAATGAGTCATTAAATGTTTTATTCTTTTAAATTAAAACTAATTGTTTTGGTTTATGTTCTCCTATGTTGTTTTTCCATTCCTGCTCTTGTTAGACCACATAAATCACTTTGAATTTTATTTCATATATACATAAATAACTGATGTAAATAACACAAACAAACACAGACTGCGATCTTTCTCAAATCAGCAAAATATTCACATTAATATTTTTCAGCACTTTGTGTTTGATGTTCCATATTCCATTTGTATTTAAAAGATCATTCCAATCTATCAAATAGCCTTATTCAAAGAACTTCGTTGGGCTGTTTAACAGATTGGAATGATATTTTAAATACAAATGGAGTATGGAACATCAAATGCAAAGTGCTGATAAATATTAAAGTGAAGTATTTTTTGCTGATTTGAGAAAGGTTGCAGTGTACACATTTGTTTATTTCATATCCAATTTAAAATCTACTTCATTATATTATTACATTTGTATGACATACATTGTATAATCTGTTTTAATTTTTAATTTTCCATTTCTGTTGTTTAAAAAAAATGTAGAAGAGTAAAAAGACAGGATAAGAAATAAATAAAAAATATTTGAANGGTTTATATAATGCGGATTCGTAAATTGCGGCAAAAAAATTGCGACCGCATTTGTATAAAGATGCTAAAAGAGACTCGTAAAATGTGGTAAAACGTTATCGCCATCTCGTGTCGCGACAGGATTGGTCGAATCTGGACCAATAGTGGATGAGCAGCTGAACTACTTACTCGCTACAGAGAGTTTAGGCGGTTAAGTTGAGTTTACTATCGTCTGTACAGTATATAAATTAAGTACTGTAAGTCTAATACAGTACTGTAATTTTATACATTTCTTGTGAAAAAAAAAATTTCTTATTCAACAGCCATAAAAATTATTTCTATTAATGATGTCTCCAAATCAACAAATTTTTCACAGAAAAATAACTTATCAGAAAACATGCCCACCGTTTGGTGTGCTGCTCTGCGACGAAAACAAGCTTAAGCAATGGTGTCGTTGAATGGTGCACAGGTAAGTAATCCTACAATTTTTTGTTTATAGCATAGTTTATGTGGATTATTCTCAAAAAATTATATGTATTTTGGAAATGTTGAGTCAAATTAGTCTAGAATCGATTAATTTTATGGAAGAAAACCTTTCAAACAGCCATAGTCCATAAACTGCACACGTGCCGGGCTATGATTGGCTCATATATTTAAGGATTCCTACAACGTGAAATTCTTATAAAGTGGAACGTATCTACTGCATTATAGGGAGTCGACTGTATACTGATTCAAAGTGTCTAGAAATACTTCTTATTTAATATGATGTAATTAATGAAAATATCTTTAACCATTTAATGTTCATATTTTAAATGGCATGATTGAAAGTCATTCTNTTACGTGTTTTAGCTGGCAACACTCATTCGACCATGAAAGGGAGCCAGTATTTAAATGAGGCTTAATTTTTAATGATACAATAGCGACGATTATTATTTAAAAAAATTTTTGTTAGGCTTAACATCGATGAAAATTCAACGTGAAGTAGGTTAATAGCAATATACTAATTACATGGGATATAATAATATACTACATTAATGGATTTTTTCATACTTTTCAGTTATCCGCCTTTTCAATTATCCGACCAACCCCAGTCCCCAATTGAGTCGGATAATCGAGGCTCTACTGTAGGCTTCCAAATCAATATATAGAATATAAAAAATTCCAAACCAATATAGAATTTAGAAAATTTATTTCTATAGTTTTATCAGTAAACCTATAGTAATAAATTCCACTTATGTTTCTAAGATATGTAGCTAATTCATAGTTATTTATCTCCTGAAATTTATTAAACTTAGTTATCTGATTTAAATATTCACAATCTGCTTTCAAATTAATAATTTACAGTATCCATATTCAACTTGTATAATTATTTTTTAGATAGTTATTAAATAAATACAATTTTTCTGTCCATAATTCTAATATGTGTATAAATAAATAATCATTGAAAAATGTCATATACATCTAATTAGAATCAGAGTTTCATCTATAGCATGTGATCTATATTCTGTCAATAATACTTCAGCAAACCAGAAGTGCCATCGTTCTCTCTCACTAGAAAGATTTGATAAGGACTTAAGTTTTTACAATATTTTTTTATTTAAAAGCTTATAATATGCATACATTTTTAATAGAGTAATTATCTATGTATTATATATTTTCATATATGCATATATATATACTTCTGTGTTTGTAGTAGTATTAGATGAAAATAATTTCTAATTCTGAACATCTTAGCTTTTAAAATTTACTTTATTAATTTTTTAATTAAAATTTTATCTGGGACATAAAAAATTATAAAATGTATCTATCTCAAGCATAATCAATTACTGCAGTTACTTCAAAATAATTTGTTTTATGTTAAACATAGGGACTGTTCATAAATTATGTATTGTAGATGTGGTTGGGTATGCAGGCAATCATTACGATGCATTATAAGGAGGTGAACATATTTACAAAAATGTTATCTGTTCAACTACTGCCAATGATCATTACAATCATTGGCAGTAAAAAGCAAATGGTCACCTTACATGAAAATCAGTTTGTCTACATGTTGAAGCAACTGCATTGACTTGTTTGCACTGGGCTTAATATGACTAATCTATCATTACTTTTCTGCTTGGACTGGAGTTCATAAAAAACAAAATTATCAAACTGACTAAGCACTTTTGGACTTTTTTGTCCATCCTGAGAGTATTACTCAAAAATTTTTTTCAAACTGTCATTTGAGCAAATCTGCCAGAGTTTGAATTTAAATGCATTGTCTTTTCATTCCAGAACAGTGTTCATTCAATTCAAACTATCTCTATATTCTTCTGTTTACTTCTCTGTTCTTTATTCATTTTACCAATGATAAAAAAAGAGTAAAAAATACAGAACTGAATCTGAAATGTATGGACAAAAAATAAATCTGAAAGTATTTAATGACTTTTTTTATGAATTCCAGTTTGAGCAGAAAGGTAACATGAGAAAATAGCAACAACAATGAGTAACAGAATTTCCAAATTAAAAACTTAATATATATTATTATATAGAAGATGGTAATAAAATATTGACAATATATAAAAATTTGAAAATATTTTTGAATTACAGTCAAACCTCAGTTTTGAACATAATTTATTCCTAAAATTTGTTCTAAAACCAAAACAAATTTTCCCATAAGAAACAATATAAAATGGATTAATCAGTTCCTGACACCTGAAATAAAGCCTTTTTTTTACATGTTTAGCTGTATTTTATGCTAAAAATGCCTACAAATGCAATATAATATTGTATATAATAGAATACTATATTATATAAAATAAATTTTTGTTATTTAATTTGACTTAATCACCTTTAAAGATGAATTCTTGGATGCCATTTATATTACATGAATGTTAATTAACACAGTTTTTATTAATTTAATTTAAATTCAACTGTAGCATGTTCTGAAAAACAGAAGTAGTATTTTTTCCTCATGCGCATTGAAATCTAATTTAAATAGCAACATCATTTATTCATGCCATGATGTCTAATGACGTGGATGATCTCAACGTCACTAACTTCTGAATCAGTAGTCCTGTGGCTGATTGGTCGGGCTGTCAACTTTCTTCAACAGGGAGTTGACTGTCTATGTCTCTTTAATCTGTATTTGGCTCTTGCCGAGTAGCTTGTTTGGCATGATTACACTGTATAAACATTATTTGTACAGTGTAATTATTCATGTTTGGTGATGAATAAATATTGTTTGAATACCTCCCAGATTTTCATCAACTAACAATTTTACCAAATAATGCTAAATTAGTTTTAAACTCTTCATTTGTTTGGAACTGATTAATTATCTTTAACATTTATTAAAGTCTTCAATACTGTTTACTCTTTTAAAGATGAAATTTGCATATTATATTGTTTGCTTGTTGATGACTCAAAAGGTTGAAAGTGATAAAAATTATTTACCTGATTTGATTACAAAATTTATCAATTATGCTATTTTGAATTGTTATGAGTCAACACAAACTTTTTTTCCAGTTTGTTGTTGACTTATATATAACAGTATGTTGTTTAAATCAGTTTTATGCGTTTTTACTCAGTAAAGTTTAGTTTTCGTAAATGGTAAAACATATATTTGTGACAGTTAATAAATACAGGTAACTCTCACTATTTACATGTTTGGTTTTTGTGCTTTTGCTTATTTGCATTTGAAAATTTGTACCNTTTGATATAGGAAAGTTTTCCATAGTTTGATTAAAATTTATTTTTAAAATATAAAAAAAATCTTGTTTTTTATAAATATAAAAATTAACAGAAATGAAATCAGTTAAATAAAAATCAGAAAGATGTTTGTTTAAAATGAAGATACAATATTCATCTGTAGAGTAAATAAATGATAAGATCTAAACATAATTCTAATATAATAAAAACAATAAAACAGAAGATAATCATATAAAATTTAGATAGGAAGACAAAACAGAGCAGAACAATTGATACGATTATATCAATTGATGTTGAAGATAGCTACATTCAGGAAAATAAGCATTAATTCTGCTTGTTTTTAAACAAGTGATGTGAATACAGTTTGATATTTTCAGCAGCAATAGTGCCAAATTCAATAATGATACATATTTACAGGACAATAGAATCATCAGAAATTTTCTTTGCATAGTTAAGATATTGCCTTTCTTTTATTTATAATAATCTGCTTATATTCAGCACTATTCTGTTTGCATATTCAAGCAAGATTTTATCAATAATCTCTTGGAAAATAAATTATCTCTTGATTTATTGTTATGTGAGCTATATCTTCTTTTTTGAATTATTACTAAGAAAAATTTTTGACAATACACTGTATAAAATTTTTATGTTTATAAAAAAACTTTTTGAAAAAAAAATTAAAGCAAGAAATTATTAATAGAAATAATCTTTTAGAAATTTAAAGGAAAAAATAATTGAAAATTAATTATTGAATAAAAAATAATTATTTAATAAATAATTATTATTTATTGTAATGTAATACAAATAAATCCTTCCTTGTTTTGACTGTGTGCCTATGCTTCCATACTTTATAACATCATTTATATTTTTTTAGAATGCTGATTGTAAAATTGCAATGAGTTTAGTTTGTTTTTTTAAATGTTTGCAGTTTATAAGATATGCCAATTCATTTGTGAAATAACTAATAAATATAACTGATGATTGCTGGATTATATCAGGCTATATTAATGTTACTCTTAATAATTAAATGAGTAAATTTTTTGGAATTAAAGATTGGGTTAAATGATATATGTATATAACTAATAAAAGGAATTTTTTTTAATGTTCTATGTTCTGTGAATCTGTTCCATATGTTCTTTGCCTGAAGATGACATTAATGTCAAACATACTTGCTTAGCTGCAGTTTATAAATTATTAAAGTGTATAACACTGAAAGATAGTGTTTTATTAGTTATATAATTTTTGCCTCAAGTATGTACTTATCTTTTTTTGAATCATTTGTCAAATGTAATAAGCTGATCTGATATTAATTTTTGCACTAAGTTATTAAGATTAATTATAAATTTAAATATAAATAAATTATGTTTATAATATGACATATTTTATTAGAATTTGTGTCAAAGTAATTGCTTATTAATTCATCTCTAACTATATCTTATAGCAGTTGTTGGTGTCAGATGTTACAATTGATCACTTTGATGATTAACGAAGAAATGCAAAAAAATATACAAATAATTTTTTAGATTTAATGATTTTCTTTGATAATGAATATGTTTTCAATTATTTACAATTTTTCTTAGGTGATTTTTATATATCAGTTTGAATTCATTTAAAAATTGATATATTTTTATTGATTTCTCTGTTAATAATAATAAAATGTTTACTTTTATCAATAGGCATATAAAATTGTAATTAAATTTTATTTTATTTTTATTTTTTTGTTTTAGATATCAAATGGAGTGCCAAAAGCACTTATTAATCTCTGCATTATTAATCGTTCTCTCCAAGTTTCTTTGCTGAGAACTACTACAGAAGATCATATTCAGGAGAATTTGGAAAATGATATCAATGAAGCTCACAAAGTTACATATTACTTAAATGACACTGATAAAAAGAATGTTATGGAGTCACTTAATCGATTAATTTTACGATGCCCATTGAGTGAATGTTCTTCATATTCTTATGATAGCTTTAATCTGCCAGTTAAAGTCTACAATCATTGGATGGATGATTTATGTATCAAAAATGAAGATAGTACTGATTTAAATTCTAAAATCACTCAGAATTTTCCAGTGACTGTATTTTCTGGTTATCTAGATTCATCTTATTATCAGATGTATTGTGTTGGTATGGAAAAAGAAAACTCTTTATTAATGCTATCTGATTTTGAAGAACATTTTGTGAGAAATGCACACTCAATGAGCTCAAATAAAGTTCCAGAACCAACAGGTCGTCCTTCAGAAGAACAATTAAAAAAGGTTTATCTTTCACTATCTAATTCTGTAAGTTATTTTTATTACAATTTTATTTTATAATAAAATATGAATTTATAAATCTATAATAATTTATTATTCACTCCTTCATAAAAAATTTCAAAAGAGAAAAATACAGTCGACCCCCCTATAACGCGGGTTTATATAATGCGGATTCGTAAATTGCGGCAAAAAAATTGCGACCGCATTTGTATAAAGATGCTAAAAGAGACTCGTAAAATGTGGTAAAACGTTATCGCCATCTCGTGTCGCGACAGGATTGGTCGAATCTGGACCAATAGTGGATGAGCAGCTGAACTACTTACTCGCTACAGAGAGTTTAGGCGGTTAAGTTGAGTTTACTATCGTCTGTACAGTATATAAATTAAGTACTGTAAGTCTAATACAGTACTGTAATTTTATACATTTCTTGTGAAAAAAAAAATTTCTTATTCAACAGCCATAAAAATTATTTCTATTAATGATGTCTCCAAATCAACAAATTTTTCACAGAAAAATAACTTATCAGAAAACATGCCCACCGTTTGGTGTGCTGCTCTGCGACGAAAACAAGCTTAAGCAATGGTGTCGTTGAATGGTGCACAGGTAAGTAATCCTACAATTTTTTGTTTATAGCATAGTTTATGTGGATTATTCTCAAAAAATTATATGTATTTTGGAAATGTTGAGTCAAATTAGTCTAGAATCGATTAATTTTATGGAAGAAAACCTTTCAGACAGCCATAGTCTGTAAACTGCACACGTGCCGGGCTATGATTGGCTCATATATTTAAGGATTCCTACAACGTGAAATTCTTATAAAGTGGAACGTATCTATCGTGTTATAGGGGGTCGACTGTATACTGATTCAAAGTGTCTAGAAATACTTTTTATTTAATTAATATGATGTAATTAATGAAAATATCTTTAACCATTTAATGTTCATATTTTAAATGGCAAAATACATAAAAGATTCTCCTTAATAATAAAATAGTATTATTAATTTTTTTATAGTTCCATCTGTAAGAATAATCAAACATTCATCAAATTATGTAAGAATTCTATAAAGAAATTACAGGTATACCTCGACTTACGTCGTTTCGAGTTACATCATACCCGATTATACGTCATTTGTCAAAAAAGTATATGGAAAAATAAAAATCAAGTTTAAGTCATTTTATTCGACTTTACGTCTGTCTGCCACAAATATTGAAGTCGTAATATCACTAGAAAAGCGTTTAAAGCACATAAAATCATATTAAAATATATACATTTACAACTATGTGCTGTATTTACAGTACATGCATTCGTAAATTTAGATTACTTTTTTCTGTACGTTATTAAAAACTAAAATTTATTTGTTTGTAAGCTTAAAATAGATCCTTATTAACCATACATTATTAAAAATGCATTAATAAATAAAATACAGAACCGGAATTGGCAATTTATGGTTTAGCCTAGTGACAAGTAGATTTGGAGACAAGTAAATTCGACTTACGTCGTTTT